TTTAATTGTAACAAATCTCATTAATTTCATTTGTTTCAATTTTTTATAATGCAGATAAATCATTCATTTCATTTCGCTGTGCACTGCTGTAACAGAAATGACCAACAAGAGAAGGTGGATGTATGTGTTTCACATCATTTGTGACTAATCCAAATTATGGAATTATTAATATTATAATTATTAATATGGAAAAATGTCACGACAAACATGCAAAAGTATAAGCCAGAAAACACTACAGTGCATTTGTATACTGTCTTGTAGAACACATAAAGATTTTTTTTTTTTTTAAATATTCTCTAGATCATTTAAATAAGCAGGAACTGCAAGTGATTCTCCCTAAAACACCATTTAGCCCGAGGCATTTGAAAAGGTTCAAGTTCCCCACAGACCGTGACAAAGCCAAGACAACTAATAAAAGAGACTATTAAAGTCTTAAGATGCTGTTGAAATGAGGTCCATTAATTCATTTTACAGAAAAAAAAAACTGCCTAGTCAGAACTGTTTTTAGTCTTATAAACCAATTTAGTCTGAAAACGAAATGATCTGGTGATGTGTCCGCCATGTGAACCAGATATGTGTCAGTTTAAAAAAATACATGTTGTCTCTTCCAAAACATACATTCTCTTTTCCTGTTTTCAGTAAGGAACGCCAAAGCCCCAATATTGCTGACTTTAAAGAGCAGAGAAAGAGGGAGAAGCACCGGATAGAGAAGGAAAGAAAGGAGCAAAAAGAGAGGGAAAAGAAAGAGAATGAAATGAGAAAAAAGTTCAAGGTGAGGGTAAAATTTAGTTTTGATATCGTATTTAATGTGACGAGACTAAGAAAATGAAGCGATTTAAAGAAATTTTTTTTTTTTGAATCTTGATGTAGGTGACAGGAGATGAAGAACCCTTGTACCACGCCAAGGTGGTTGTGGCCAGTAAAGTCAGAAAAAATGACCTTCCTGTGAAGAGCGGGGACACCGTCAGCATCATCCGTACCACCAGCTGTCCCAAGGGCAAATGGTTGGCTCGGGACGTCAACTACAAGTGTAAGTTCGGACCGTTTTTTACCAGTGTGTTAGCATAGGTGAGTGAAATGGGTACTTATGTAAGGTTTGTGAGACAAAAT